GTCAGCCAGATGGATGCATTTAGAACCATATTTCCCTGAAAATAAGAACTAACTGGAAAATAAACCTTAAATGTGTCTTTTGGAGTAAGCCTTAATATAAGACCTGGTCTTATTTTTGGGAAACACTGTACTTATAAAAAAGCTCTTTGATTTTTAAAACATCATAGTGTGGTGACATCCTCAGGACCTTACTGTTTTTGGTATTATGACAAAAGCATATCATAGCATTGTGCGGCAAATTCTGGTTCTTGCGTGCAGTCTGCAGCCTCAAAACACAGATAGAAAAGAGACCTAAATTAAACTGCCACAGCACTGCTTTCATCAGTCTGAGCTTTATACTGCTCCACAGTATAAGGCTTTTCCGTTAGAAGTCACAGGGGAAAAATGGTGGGAGAGAAAAAGAATGAAACACTCTATGCTTTATAAAATTTTTGATAACTTTGTGTTGTTTTATGTTTAAAGCAAAATTGGTGGTGAGAGAAAAGGAAGTCATTAGAACATCTTAATCTTGTTTAAGGGACAAGGGAAACATCTTTCTTTGCAAAGATTACTTTGGATTACCTGATGGCATAACATGTACTTTGAAAAAAGAAATGATGCTGATTTTGCTGGGTGTCTCGTATGGGTTTATTTTAAAAACTCAGTACATCAAATTAAATGTGGTGTTGTAACAGCAGTTTTGTCTTTTCCCTCTGCTCAAATTAAAGCCAAGTTACGTGAGTCTTGCTTTGATCCTGGGAATATCATGAATGGTACAAGACTTGGAATGGATTACAAACTGGGATCAACAGTCACATATTATTGTGATGCTGGCTATGTTCTTCAAGGCTACTCTACACTTACTTGTATCATGGGAGATGATGGGAGACCTGGATGGAACAGAGCCTTACCTACTTGCCATGGTAAGATTTTGAGAAGAATTTTAGTATTAGTTCACTCACTCACTCACCCACTCACCCACCCACCCATCCATCCATCCATTCATCCATCCATCCATTCATCCATTCATTCATCCATCCATCCATTCATGATGGTGATGCTTTTATGAGTGCATGATGAAATGTATGACTTACAATTCACATGAAGTATTGTTTTTTCTGCTTTATTTGTTACTTTCACATGCTGGTATGTTTTGCATCAGAGTGATTCTTATGAATACAACACCAAAGTATTCTTCTCCTGTTTTCCACTTAGTCATATGGAATGCTGTCTCAAACAAACAGAACAAGGATGGGACAGAGGGATGAGAGAGCAAGAAAATAACTGTGGATATTATCTGGAAAAACATTAGCAACCCTGATGTTAGATGAAAGTCAGTGTTCTCACTGGAATTCAGACTATTACATCACAAAACACTCTAAAGCTGGTCATCCAATGGAACTAGGCCTCAATTTACATTTAATCTGAGAATTTTTAGTAGATAACACTTAGAGGGGTCAGTTGTCAGAACTTTACTAGCATGAGAAGTTGGAAGAAATGGATTTTGCATTGCACCAGTTGTCTTTTTCAACATGCTGCCCACAATGATTACTTGAACTTCTAAAATCATTATATATCAGAACTCAAAAAATCATTACATACCATTTCATTTCATTGTATTTCATAACTCAAAGAAATTGAAGTTCTGAAACGACCTTAGTTAGGTATTATATCTTTGTTAGCAGACACATATTTTGTTCAATTAGAATGGTTGGATTTTCTGAAATAAGGTTAGTTGGGACCCAAATTAGTGGCAAAGCATGAATACTATCAGCACTTGTTGGTATCCATTCAAACATTTTTTATAAATCTATGTATATTTTAGACAGGAAAGGGCTTACCTTTATGAAGCTCAGATTAAAATCATTTATCTCAATGGTTGCTGTGATTAATTTTGGAAACAAATAGTTGGATTGAAAGCTTTAAAGCTCCCTTGCAAAAGAACCTTTTATTTTCTTTTACTCATATTGTTTGGATTAGATTCCTTTTTAAATTACATTTAAGGTATGGGCTGAGATTTTAAAAAGGCCTTTAAACCCTTATTTTTCTTTGGACCTTTATGAAGGAAGCATTTTTATTTTCACAGCATTGTTTACTGATATAAATTATGTTGGTGTAGGAATTACACATTTTTTAATTTAAAATTTTGAAATTACGCTATTGATGGTTGTTTGTACTGTGCTGTGATTTGTATTGCTCTTCTTACAGAGCAAAAATATTCCTATTAAATAAAGACAAGTGTGTCTGGTTAATTTATCACAAGAGGTCAGCAATTATTTCTAGCTCTGGGCAATATTGAACATATATTGATTTGGCTTCTATGACCCCCTCTGATGGCTTTTCCTTGGAAGATGAGGAAGGCTAAATGATACCCATGAAACTACTGCATCCGTGAAGCCATGGTCTAATACAAATATTGAACTCTCTCAAAAAGCCTGGTTCAAATGTCCACACCAATTTCTTTGGCAAAAGTCATGAGCTTTTGGAGACTGTCAGGATTAAGAATTAAACATCAAGGGATACTGCAAGACCAAACTGAGAATAATAAAAGGAAGGCTAAGGGAAATGTGGGATGAGGCAAACTCTAATTTAGAAAGCTTTCTATATTTACTTTCTGGAGGAAAAAGAACTAATCCTGGAATTGTTTTTTGCAGGTTTGCTTTATATGCTAAAGACCAATTCAATTGATTTACTAGGGCCTCTGAATCTTGACCTGACTCTTTGTTATATAGCATTTAGCAATACCACCTAGACTTAATACTACTTCATAGTGCTTTACAAACATCTCTAAGGCCTTTAGATAATTTAGAGAGTCAGCAAAATGGCTCAGGGTCCTCATTTTACAAAACTCAGAAGAAGAATAAATGGAGTCAACCTTGAGCAGGTCAGAATCGAACTCCTGACAGTAAGCAGTGAGAAGTCAGTTAGTTTTTAGTATGCATTCTAACTTCTGCACCACCACGACTCATATACTATGCCTCATTTTCAGGGATTACAATACAATTAGCAATTTCCCTGCTATCTTGGCCTCGGGTTTGATTATACTTGCCTTATTCCCATTTCATGAAGTATTTCAGATTTCAATAGAAGATAATACAGTATGTTTAGCTCGGGGTTGAACTGTGGAGTCCTTGGCTGCAGTCTCAGCTTGAGTGTTTGACTGCAGAGGACAAACAACAACCAAGAAAGAACCAAGAATGTCACATCTCTCATATTTCCTTGGTCTTTGTGTATGTGACTATACACAAAGCAAGATAGGCATGTCCTTTTACAGAAGTGTTAAAACTTGATCATCTATCATCTTTTAGCATTTTGGTAGGATTAAATAAGATTTTGGCATTTGTGCATATTTTACAAGGGTTGATGTTGTTGTTGTCTGCTTCTAAGCAAATTTGTAAGCCTGTGACCTATGTGCTGTGACATTCTGGTGCCATTGAACTTTTATGTAAGTACCTGACATTTTACTTCTGAACACAAAGAGTAGGTTTCCACATGGCAGAATTGCCTTGATTAAATGAGCAGGACATAAGATACTGCTGAATTGCAAAATAATCCAAGTAATAATCTATGATTCTAGACAGGAATCAATGTCTAGAATCATAGACATTGATTCTAGATAGAAAGGTAGGTAGGTAGGTAGGTAGGTAGGTAGGTTAGGTAGGTTAGGTAGGTAGGTAGGTAGGTAGGTAGGTAGGTAGGTAGGTTGGTTGGTTGGTTGGTTGGTTGGTAGGTAGGTAGGTAGGTAGGTAGGTAGGTAGGTAGGTAGGTAGGTAGATAGATAGATAGATAGATAGATANTCCGGGTCCACTGGTGGAACCTCTTCTAACCGGTTCGGTAGATTTGACGAACGGGTTCTACCGAATAGGTGCGAACTGGTAGGAACCCACCTCTGCTTTAATTTTGCCAGCTTGAAGGATAACCCAGCTACTTGTGATAATTTTCATCCAGTCTCTTGATGTTATTTCCATAGGCATCTTGATTCATTCAGTTTTCACTATTTTTCCCCTATTGATGATGTGGGTGGCACATTGTCTAGTCCAAATTCCTCGTAATATCATGGCTCTATATACATAGAGTGTTTATTAACGATTCTGTTTCAGAATCCATTTTTTCCATTAAGCTTGAGGTTATGCATGTAAAGGAGGGAAGGTAGCCTGGCAGATGCTTTTCATATTTAATAATTTAACTTGTTCAGTATTGTTGACAAAGGAATCCGAGCAATAACAAACAATAGTGATGATGATGACTTACCTTAAAGATTCCTCTTTTGATACTAACCTCTGCTAGTTTATCAGCATTGGATTATAAAATGTGTCTTCCTTTTGTAATTGTAAAAGTAAATGGATATTTGCATAAATCATGTTTTCATAAATGGGCTCCCCTCTGGCAAATAATAATAATTTAAAAAGTGAATTATTCATGGATCTGTTTATCCATACAACTAGTAAGAAAAATGTAGAGCATAAAACATATGGGGAAGGACATACAGAACAACAAGAAGAGAAACATACAAATCCAATATTGTATAACAATAAAGATATACATGTTTTCAAAATTTGTTGCAACTACAGCTTCTAGGAGTTTTAGTTATATAACAAAATTATGTTAGTGGTAAACTCTGCCTTAATGTGCAATGTTATTCTTATGTTTGCTGTCAAATGTACTTTTTTGCATCTTGCTCCTAACCTATCTTTACAATATTTATAGCCATTATTAAATGCTAGCTCTTTTTCTATGATTTCAATATTCACATGGTTTATTCAGAGTAGCACTTTCCAAAGAAAAGTTAAGGAAACAAAAAGGTAGCTCAAAAGCTTGACTTTATCCTTAGGAAGTAACTCCCTTCCTGTTTCTTTGACCAGAATGCCTTTTAATTTAGAGGTACTACAAATAGAATAAATTAGCTTGGTTTTTTTGTACAATCCAAATATATGTTTTCTTTTACTTTGCTTATTATTCATTCTTTATGCTTTAGGATGCAATTTCCTTTTTTTACATTCTTTGTTTAATTCATTCACAGCACCTTGTGGAGGCAATCTGACGGGATCATCGGGTTTTATTCTTTCGCCAAATTTCCCACATCCTTATCCCCATAGCAGAGACTGTGACTGGACTATTACTGTTAATAATGACTATGTAATATCATTAGCTTTTATCAGGTAAGTATATGCTTAGTAAAATTTCAATAATATTCTTATTGAAGATTTCTTTGTTTTCCCCTGAAGGGTGCTTTTCCAAAAGGCAACTTGACTTTCTTTGATTTTCCTTTAAGACATTTCGCTTCTCATCCAAGAACTCCAGAACTGAAGAAGCTTCTTGGGTGAGAAGCAAATTATCTTCAAGGAAAAACAAATAAAATCCAGTTGCCTTTTTTAAAAAAACACCTCTGGGACAACTATGAACCTGGATGACTAAGAATCTTCATAGCCATAAAGCTGTTGTAATGGCCAACATCAGATATTATACATTTTGGATATTTTTTTATAGTTTTAAAGTAACATAATAGGTTTTATGGCCCTCCAGTGGCCAGCAGAGCTGGCAGCAGATTCGGACAGTGAGAAGGTTGGAGAGGAACATGAGCCAGTCCTGGAGTCTGGGGAAGGCTTTGATGAGGGATCTCTGTCAGAGACAGAGAGGCGACTCTATGCCAGTTATCAGCTGCCTTCAAAGTCAGACATCAGTGAGGCAGATGAACAGCTGGAGCCTGTTCCCAGTGTGTGCATGCACAGAGTTGCCAGACAAAGGGAACAGCTAAAGAACAGGGGCCAAGTTGGGATAAGGCCCAGGTGGATGGTGAATGGCTCCTCCCATAGGGAATAAAAGAGGAGAGAGAGGGGAGGGGAGCTTGCAGGAGACAATTAGTTTGCTTAATTGGTTCGTGACTCTCTAAGACTCCTTGCCACGTTTTGCAGATATCGGCCTGGCAGCTCTTCAAGCTAGATAAGGTCTGTGACTGTAAATCCTCTCTTGAAAGACTTTGTTGGAATTGAATGAGAAGAATTCACAGTAAATTAATAAAAGGGTTTTTTGTCAGGACAAGGAATTTGCTTCATGCTCTTGGGAAGCCTAGATTAGAACAACCATGTCCTGGATGACTGAGAATCTGCATAGACATTTATTTTATTTAGTTTGTTTAGTAAGCCTGATAAGGTAACCGCTTTTCAAATTCAAGGACTGTTAGTTTCCAAAGTAACATATTTAATAAGGTTATTATAAAATTTTGTTTCAGTTATTATCAATACAACTATTGAGATATTTGCTCGAAAAATTGACCCCTTTGACTTCAGAACTTAGAGAATGATTGTATCATCGTATTTAATTTCTACCCTGTTCGTTTGTCAACTATTTCTAGGCAGCCTAAAAATTCATCGATAGCAATAAATCTAAGCCTCAAAATTAAAGCTTTTCTGCTATTCTATATATCCTGGTATGAATATTTATTGTTCCATCAATACTAAATATCTATAGCAAGGCAAAAATGAATAGCCTAGAACACAACTATATCAACTGGGGAAAAGTATTTGTGTTATTTATTTGTTTACTTAAACATTATTTCATTGCTTATTATATTTCTTGTCTGCCCTTTAGTTTAAATTCCCTGAGCAATATCCAATTAAAAGAATAAGGCAATACAATTAATGTGCCCAGAAATAATACAGGAAATGAATTATGCCAATCAATAAAAGCCAGCCAAGTCATTAAAAAAATAGAATTGAACAGCTATTATAAGAATGTTAGGTATCTTGGGAAAACCTTTAAACCAAAAAGATGCCAAAACTGACACTTGATGATTTGCCTGTTTAGAGAATTTAAGACATTTTATATGTGAAATATTACTTGTAAATATATTGTGTTGTTGTTTTGCTGAAGACTTGGGGGAATTTGAAAGATTTAGATCTAAGACTGTTAGAAGAGTAGCATTAGGCACTCATTTGCTTTCCAGAAGTTCCTTAATTATACTATGAGTTTAGAAGATATCCATCTGCTTGTTTAGTCTATGAAGATGTAGCACAAAGAAAAAAAATATCTAATGAACAATAATCTACCAAAAAAACCCCATCTGTTATTAGAGAAGTGGTGAATTCATGGAAATTGAGTTCAGTTAATCTGGATTCCTATTTGTTTGTTTGTTTGTTTGTTTAATATTTGTTTGTTTGTTTTTTGTCAAACATGTATTAGACAACACATATATGTGTAAACATGATTTTGGATACAGGAAATGGATACAAATAAAAAGAAACATTCGGACAGGGACAATAGGCACATTGGTGTGCTTATGCACATCCATTACCTCTTAGGAATGGGGTGAGGTTGACAGTAGACAGTCTGAGGTTGAAGTTTTAGAGGTTTGAGGAAGAAACCACGGAGTCCTCAATGGCTTCACTCAGCCCTTTGGATCTATGTGTTCTGGGTTTTCCACTATTAGGCAAGTTTAAAGAGTAAAGGATTCAAGGTTAATGACCTCTTTACTTATGCTGCAATATTGACACAGGAAACATAGATTTCTACACTTCTAAGAAACTATAGTGTCAACTGGTAAGTTTGAAAGAAGAACATAGCCTTAAACAGAAGCATGGTGCCAGGTATAAGGGTGGGTATAATTAATAAATAAAATAAAATCAATCACCTAGTTAATAAGTGCTACCTTTCTTCTGGGAAGCAAAACAGGTTAACCTTACTACTATAAATGGGATTAGGATTATGAGGAGTTTTATTTGTTTTGTTTTGTTTTTATTCTTAAAAATGTTACTTGGTAAAATTATCCCTTCTCTCTTATACTAATTAGTAATTATTTATGTAATATAGTTTTATTTGTAAAACAGATTTAGTGAAAGAAGACATATTTACTATTTGTAGTTTTAGGAGTGAATTGGATCAGCCAGATTCCTGAGAAACCTTCTCCCTTGTTGTCTTATGAAGTGCATCCCTAGTGTGAATACAGAATTCATGCTTCTGGTTTTGTCTCTTATATAATAATTTTAGTGTAATCTTGCCTTCCAGTATCCAATATTATGCTGCAGAAATTGTAGTTGATAATTGTTGTTGCATAAAAACTAAGAAACACATTGAGTTTGAATACAGGTAATCCTCCCTTTATACAATCCAATACAATAGCAGGGTTGGAAGGGACCTTGGAGGTCTTCTAGTCCAACCCCCT